GGCATGAGCAGAGCCTCCATGGCACCCTGGCACGAGAAGGGTCACAAAAAGGTTTCCCTGCACCTGGGAGACCTGAGTGTGCTGTAGGCTCAGGCAACCAGGTTTATTTTCTCCACTGTAAGGCAGGATAGCTGGACATGGGCAGGTCGAGCAGGGTATGTGATGTGGCACCCTCCACCTTGGCTGGGACTGGGAGCAGCTCAGCACTGCTGCCCTTGGGGAGCATTTAAGGGAAAACCAGGGTGCATCCAGCTGTGGTAGTGGCTGACACAAAGGGGGAAGAGTATGAACCCACCGAGAGGCACAAATCCAAGCCCGAACTCCCAGCCACTTAGATTAGTTCAGAAGCAAGAGAGAAAACTGTAAGAGAAAAGGAGACAGAGAGAGTGCGAGCAAGAGAGAAGAAACGAGACCCTGAAAAAACGACATACTATTCCCGCTCCTCTCGCTCCGTCTGCCAGCGTCGGCGCCTGGGGGCATAGAAACAAAAAAGGAGAGGTTACAACCAGGAGAGCAGGTGCTGGGTCTTCTCTGTTGCGGGAAGCTACGCACTCAGCAGGGCTCCACACCGTCCTGAGGAAGAGAAACCTGCCAATGGTCAGGCTGGAGGAGACCCTCCTTCCAGAGCCCAGTGCCACCCCACCAGCCTGTAGCCCCCGCTGTCACAGGGGCAGAGTGCTTTACTGCCAGCTAAAGGGAATTGGCTTTTCTGGGAAGGTGGTCTGGCTCCACACCATGAGCATCCCAGGGAGTTCCTGAGGGATGAGGCCAGGCAGGACAGCTTGCCAGGGATGCCCAGCTGCCATCTGAGCTCCCCTTCCATACCTCTCCTCCTCACTCAGGCAGCCAACACACTTGGTGGGCTGGGCACACTTGGAGCAGGGGCTCCTCCGTGGGATCCCAGTCCTGGTGATCCACAGCCATGCCGTCCCTCTCTCCGTGCTTACTAGCTCTCCTTCACCAAACAGCTGGCACTCCTCCACCTTTCTGCCTACAGCCACTGCCCCAGCTCCCTTGTGCCCAAGCTGCTCAAGCATCACCTCCGAGAAGTGCCAGCCTTCTCTCCAAACTGAGGACCAGAGCTGTGCAGCCCCTGTGGCTACCAGCCAGCACCTAGGTCCAGCCAGCTTAACCCTGAGAAGCTTGCTGCCCTCTCCCCAGGGCAGTTTTATATGGCTATTCCCTTCCACTCGCTTTCCCCCAGCGCCCCTGTGTTGCCAATTTCCCCGGCCAGGAAAGGAGGAGCAGAGGAGCCACAGGACACAGCTGCTTAGCTAACACTACCCAGGACCATTTATCAGAACCAGGAGAGTTCTTGGATGGTGCTGCAAGTGCTCAAGAGCAGCTTGCTTAAAACACCAAAGGAACCAAAAAGGCTGGAGCTCAGCCCCATCTGAGCCTTTTGGCGTGAACAGCTCATGGAGCTTATCAAGAAAAAGGAGAACCTACCACAGCCAGCCTTCAGAAACCACACTGCCTCCAGCACATGACAAAGCACCACAGGCACAGACAACCACCCCTGGAGAGAGATAGACTACCCGCACAACCCCTCCAGCTTCATCAAGGACAGTTCCTCGTTCTGCACTTGAAGAAAATAATCATTGTCCTTCCTGCTGCTGACAGCAAAAACGAAAATAGCATCTCGCTCTGCTGTGGAGCTGCCATCCCCAACGGACCCCGGCTTTCGCTGGCAGACACTGCAGCCAACGAATGCATTGGGCAGGGAGGATCCATACCCAGACCAACGCATGGGCACTCAGGTTGCGAGCTAAACTCACAGTAGCACAGCAGTAATGCACCTGGAAACGAGCCTACTGCTTTCAAGTACTCTTCACAAGAGCTGCATCCAGCAGAGCGGTGCAGCCTTCACTGTGGCAGCCCTCACCCTTCCTGTGACCTCTTTTCCTCTCTCCTGCTCCTTCCCCCTCCTTTTCCCTCTCCTCCTCTCCCTCCACCTGCTGTTCCTCTGTAAGGATCCCTGCACAACTCTGCCACTGTAGGGACCATAAGGGATACAGAGCCAGCAGGGATCACTGCCTGAGCAGGGAGAAGGATAGTGTAACAAAAGAGCCAGTAAATGGTGATTTTTTTCTTATTCCTCCGGCACATGCAAGGGGATATATCTGTTCACCACACAGCAAAGAAGGGTACCACTCATGCCTTGTCTTCCTGCCCCTCTCCCATGCTTACCTGTCAGCATCAGTCACCAGGGCCAGGCGTCCGTAGTCCCAAGCAACTTTACGCAAAATTGAAAAGACAAACAACAGAGCCTGGAAGAGAGCAAAGGGGGAGCTGTGAGATAAGCCACTGCCCAGCTCTCTCCTTGCCCTCTGTGTGCAGAGCCACATGAACCGGGAGGGTAGGAGGGGACAGGACAGCTCAGCTAACAGCACACTGAGGCCATGGAACAGCACAAGTTCCCCAGGCCTGTTAAAATCAGTCTGGATGGCTGTGGGTGGCAAAGATCCAGGATGCAACACAGTAGCTAAGTTAGCCATGGGATCAAAAGGTCCCAAGGAGGTGAGATTATGGCTATGTCATCTGTGGTCCTGCAGTTTCTAAGGAGGAACAAGCAAGGCCTTTGGGTGGGTAAAGCTGCAGGGACTTGGCACAATAAATGGGAGTTTTGGGATGCAGGACTGACCTAACCTGACCCATGTCCTTAGGAAAATTTGCAACACCATTCCACGGGCTCAGCGGGGTGATGTTGGAGTTAAGTCAATAGTGGCTAAGGGACATGATCAAGGCCATAAACTCAGCCAGCAAAGTCCAGGAGGGCATTTGGTGCACCTGACCACAGTCCTCCCTTCACAGCTAATTAGGGGAGAAGGTGCTGAAGCAACAGTAGGCAGACTTACGAGAAAGCACATGAAGTCGAGGGCGAGAACGGTGGGCACCCCGCCGAAGGGCAGCCCCTGCAGCACAGTGCTGCGGATGCGGGCGCTGTAGCAGTAGTCCTTGGTGCTGTTGTTGCATGTGGAGGCTTTGCAGTTGGCCCCTGCTGAGCCCAGCGTGGCAATCACGTAGGGAAGCATCTCTACAGCTTCATCGTCTTCCCTGGGGAAAGGAGAGAGAGGCCTGGTCAGACACGGACAGCACAGCCCCGTTGGAGCCAGGGGCCAAACGCGCCCGCCACCTCAGGCTCCGCCGCGCTACAGGACTTTCCTGGGAACCAGTGTCCAGAGACAAGTACATCTCGAGAAGCCTGCTAAGTTTCGGGGGGGTGCTGAAAGAGCCTGGGTGCTTCAGCAGCTGTGGTCCCACCATACACAGTACCAGAGCTCCCTTCCTTGTTCCTCCACTCTCACGCCATGCAGGTGCACCTCTTTCTCATGGATTACTCCTTTTCCCAGGGACACTGCCTTTCAGCCCCCTCCCCTCGGCAGAGAGAACATTTAGGTACAGGGAAGAACGAAAGGGTGGGGTGGTGGGGGCATAAAGTCACATCTGGATGATAGAAACAAACTGCTACGGGACAGTTGCTGCATCATGATCCCACAATTTCCTTTGCCTGGCTGCATGCCATTAGCTTTACAGGCTGAATCACCACTCTGCTCACTGCAGGCCTCAGCCCCCAGCGCGTCTGCTTTCCTTCCTCTGGCTCAGATGCATTTAGATGCAACCATGCAGAGGGCAGAGAGGAGGCTTAGGCTCTACTATTTAGGTGGTTAAATATTTTATTTATTGCAGTGCCCTCCCCAGATTGCTAAAACATCCACAGCTGGATTGGGGTCAGCGTCACTGGTTGGACATGGGGGCGTGTCAGCAATGGATAGATGTAAACTGATCATCACCAGGATGGTCTGGAAATGACAAATCAACAGCAGAAACTACCACTTTGCAGAACAGGGGAGAGAAAACCCCGTTAGCTGCAGGAGGAAGCAGCAGTAACAGATGGGAAGATCTACCCAGGCTGCCAAGCACCGACCAACACCTCAAATCCTTCACTACCGCCATGTGCCACGCGGGAGGGCTGGCTGGCCCAGTGTCACTGCTGGGCAATGCTCCGGGGCTGCTCGCCCAAGATCAGCAACACTGTCCTGGTGGGCTGGACAAAAGACCAGCCACTCGCCCAAAGCATAAGAAAGCCACTGCCACTGCCCTGCACTGGTTTTGGCCTCTTGCCCTGGGGATGTCCCCTGACACCAGCCCTGTCCTAGCTCCGCTTTGGATGGCGGCATTATCAGAGAGGGCACGGGGTGCTTCCCTCCAGCTCACGGGTGCATCCTGGCAATCGCCTGCCTGGCTGCAGGGGTCTGCCAGCATCGCAGCACAAGGCTGGCTGGGTAACGACCAGCAAAACCTTTCGCTGCAGCATCCTACAGAGCCCAGCTTCAAAGTGATCCCTCCCAGCCCAGCTGGTATGGACGTGGAGCTCCAAACCAGAGGAAGCACCCATGGCAAAGGGCACCGGCACTGAGGGGGGTCAGCTGAAGCGGAAAAGCCACCAAGCAGCCTGTTAAGAGAGATTCACAGGTACGGAGCTGCAGTAGGGCTGCCGGAGCAGAAAAGCAAGCAAAGAAAGCCAAGCCACAAGATTGGGAATCACCTGGGGAGCCAAGGCAGGATAATTCACCCTGGCTGAATTAACGAGAAACTCAAAAGCTCCAGGGGAGGGACGGGAAGAAGTGATGAGATGAGACTCACCAACGGGAAGTCACACACTTTGAGCATGAACGGTTATACCCCTCTGGCATTACCTCTGAAGTGCAGCCTAGATGGACTCATTGCAGAGAGAAATACCTCTCATTTCTCTTTTTGGGAACCTTGTAAACTTTTAGGTTGTAAATGGTATCTTGCAGCAACGAGTTCCAGATGCTGAACAAATGACTACAATCCCATGTAATTCCACAGCCCTCAGTACTCCTTCATAGTGAGAAAAAGGCAAAGAATAAAAAGCCTTTGCTTTTTCTAGACCTACTAAGCTCCCTGCTGTTAAGTGACCTATCCTTCCCGTGACATGAGGTGTCTTCCAGCTCTAGCCACCCTCACCACACATATATCCTCTCTTTTGACCCTATGGAATAGCGATCAGAACCGCATATGATATTTTGCATAGGGAAATGACCTTGACTGCCAGAACAGCATCCTGTTCTCTCAGCATCTCTCTTCACGCTGCTCCTCGTGTGGCTGAACATGATTTACTCCTCTGACGGCATCTTTGCGTATCGAGGAAAAGCATCTCGGTAACTGGCCCGCAACGCTGCTGCCCTGAGTAGCCACAGTAAATTAGAAGCCAGCCATGTCCCAGAACAAATCATTCCTTCCAATACACCCTGCTGCACACTTCTCAGTACCCACTTTCTCCTCACCTCACACCACTTCACCTCATATGGTGCCACTTTGGAATCACTTCATCTTGACAGACCTGAACAAGTCCAAGGTATCCAGAGACTTTGGGTACCTCCCAGCCCATCACCTTTTCAGGTCCCTAATAGCAAAGGACCTCATGCCCGTTGCACTGAAATTGCTCCTTCGCTCCTGCTTTGTTTGCGGACCCTTGGCCAGGTTTTGATCCAGGACTCTTAAGCCTCCCCAGGTCAACAGCTTTCTTAACAGTGCTTTGTAAAGAATTTCAGAGGTTTTCGGTACAGCCAAGCAAATTACACAAGCAGGACCAGTATTACCTATTATTTTACTGAAGTACTGAAAGACTTGCAAAAGATCAGGGAAGTATGATTTTTCCTCTCTGCCAAAGACCAAACTGTTTACCTCATTCCTGCATTCTTTATAGCCCCATTTTCCAGTCATCTTTCTAAAAGAAACGAGGCTCATATGCTCACATTGCCCATGACCCTACCATAATCATTATTTATACAAACCATTACGTGTTCAAGACAAACTTTGCAAGCCTATGGGTAATTTAAGCCACATTTCACAGAGACAGGTCCCAGAGATATATTTGTTATTCTAAAGCCTGGAGGACAGACTGGAAGGGACTGAGAATAAGTCTTCCTAGCCTCTACAGTAACCTGGCCACAACACCCAGTAATGGAAAAGCTGTGGCATATGCCCAAGGGTTACAGTGCTTTTTCATGAGCCAAGCCAGGCAGCACAGCAGCAGTCAGCACCATCCCTAAGTTACGCAACCTCCTGCCAGCTGGTGGGCGCAAGAAGGGGCTCCCCATTGAGACATAAGCGTTTCACGTGCGTGGGAAGGTTGAGAGAGCTTGCAGGAACATCCTGAGTATTTCTGCTCTTCCAGCTCCCCCAGCTGCAGGCATACCCGGCAGCAAGCTAGATTTCTGTTCAGATGCCACTGCTTGCCTCTGGGGAAGGACCCTGGGCACCTCCATATAACCAGGCTGCAACAGCAGGTAGGGGAGCCCCTGCGATCACGCAGGCTGGGCTGTACTGGGAGGGGGACGTGGTTAAATGTGCCTTCCTGGTCCCTCCTTCCCCTCGCAGGATGTAGAGCAGGGCAAGCTCCTGCTCATCAAGACAGCCAGGACCCTGGGAAGTGGTGGGAAGCCACTGTGAGGGCAGTGGGAACCAGCCCGAGGCATCCAAGCCCTTTCCTGACCGTGAGTGTGGCTTCCCACCACAGCACATGACAGGGCCAAGGAGGCAGGAAGAGCAGGACATCCAACTAGGTGTCATGCGAGCCCCGGAGCCTTCCCCTCCTGCACTGTGCATCAAATGCTGACTCCCAAAACAGCAAGGGCGGCATAGAAAGACTTTCCAAAAGACATTTTCAGCTCTTACTCAGCAATATTTGACTCCATCACCTCCTCTATAAGCAGCAGGAAGCGGGTAGGGAGGAATGGCAGCCCCCTGCTTTGCCCATCCCCAGAGAAGCCTGGTCCCTGCCCTGTACCACAGCCTCTATGTCCCCAGCAGCACCTGCATGTCCATATTGCCCCACATTTCTACCCCCACACCAGGGGCAGAGGCATCCCGCTTCCTAGCTGAAGTCCCTAAAGCACATCCCACTGCAGCGCAGCATCCAGCCCATCTCCTGCCTGCTGAGCCCCGTGCAAGCACAGCCCTGGGAACGGCCGCTTTTGAGGGCTCGGTGGATGGACTCAGTGGTGCAGAGGCTCTCCTCCTCCTCACCTTTGCCCTTGGCCTGTCAGTAGCACAGCTCTCTGGGTTTTCCTCTTAGATGGGCACCCATATGGGTGCCAAGTGAGTCTCCGTGCTCCCACCTGTCCACTGCGGAGGGAAAAAGGGAAGGTGGGAATGGCAGGATGACATGCCTTGGCTCTTGCAGCCTAACACAGCCATGGAGAGCATGCATCAGGATGAACACAGAGTCATCCCGCAGTCTGGGCAGGGAGTGACACCCAGCAGAGCCCCAAGGGGCTCTTTCAGAGCCAGGGACCAGGAGGTACCCATTGAGCAGGCTGCCTGCCCCACACAGAACTCTGCTGTGACACAGTGTGGCCAGGGCACACAACAAAAATAGTGTTGCAGGCCTTCCCAAGTGGAGCATTTCTCATTCTCCTCACCAGCCCATTCTGGAGTCTGTCCCTCACGCCCAGTGCTCGTATCTGCTGCCAAACCTCTGGCACCGAGAGGGAAGAAGAAAGAGAAAGCACAAGAGGCAGGAGGGATGCAGAAGCTGGACAGGTAGCTGACAGGCAGACACACTGACACGGGCAAGTGTTTAGCTGTGTTCATTCAGCCACCCCACTGATGTCAGCCAGACGTGAGGAGGTGACCTGAGAAACGCTTGCAGAGAAACGCAAATCAATAAAGCATATGCCTGTGCTTGCAGCCAGAACGATGTAAGCACACAAGCCACGTTCATTTGTTTTCTTGCTGGTAAACGTTAATAACAGCATCTTTAGAACAGTGAGACTGTGCTCTGGTAGAGATGGATTGGTTTATGGAAAAGTGACAGTTTCAACGGGCTGGGTGCACGGTGACAGGCAGCTGGATACCAGCAGGTCTGGGGTTAGGAGACTAGCGATTTCCAGATTAAATAAAAAACCAACAACCCAAAATTTGCTAAATCTCTAGGGCATGACATTCAGGGAGGTGAAGTGCATTCCGGTTCCTGGCTCCAGAGCATGCTGGGGACATGGGCTGC